CGCTAGCATCAGGAGGGAGGCCGTCCGTGATCGTGCCCAGCCATCCGCCCCAGTTCCGCCATTCGCAGCTCCACCAGCTCTACCAGCTCCTCAGCCGGCAAAGGAGAAGAAGAGGAAGGGGAAGGGTGCACAGACTGACCGGAGGACCCGACAGAGACAGCAGCAGGCTCCACCGTGCCCGACTTGTGGACGACTTCATCGGGGAGAGTGCCACATGGGTCAGGACATCTGCTACTACTGCCACGAGCCTGGACACTTTGCGAGTCGCTGTCCGAAGAGACTCCAGCAGCAGCCTCAGCAGCCTCAACAGCCACGTCAGCAAGCACAGAGGCCGCCTCAGCAGCAGCAGCAGAGGGGCAGACAGCAGGCCCGTGTTTACGCGGTTGATCAGGCAGAGGCAACTCAGCAGCCAGGTACTATGTCAGGGATGGTTGTACTTAATGATATTCCTGTTTTTGCTTTGTTCGATACTGGAGCAACGCATTCCTTCATTTCACGACGATGTTTTGATGCCATTGGAGTTCACGCCGTTACCGATCTCAATCCTATCGAGGTGAGTTTAGCCTCGGGACGAAAGATAGTGACCTCAGCTAAAGCCTCAGATCTTAGCCTTTCCATCGGTGGTCGTTTATTGTCTACCGACGCGTTTATTCTCGAGATGAGGGACTTCGACCTTATTCTCGGAATGGATTGGCTATCCTTCTATCATGCAGACATCAGGTGTCATGACCGGGATATCACTCTCTATCTTCTAAGAAACGAGTCGATCACTTTCTTTGTTTCGATGGCGAAAGCCACTAAGTTACTGCGGCGAGGCAACTGCCAGGGTTATCTGGTGAGCCTTGTCGACGATTCTCAGAAAGCACGCTCACCTCATGATGTTCCAATCGTTCGTGAGTTCGTGGACGTGTTCCCAGATGAGCTTCCAGGAGGACCGCCTAACCGGCAGGTGGAGTTCTCAATCGATCTTATTCCAGGGGCCGGTCCAGTATCCAAAGCCCCGTACCGCATGGCACCTAAGGAGTTGCAGGAGCTTAAGACTCAGATTCAGGAGCTGTTACGACTCGGTTTCATCCAACCGAGCGTGTCACCTTGGGGAGCACCCGTTCTCTTTGTTAAGAAGAAGGATGGATCCATGCGCATGTGTATCGACTACCGGGATCTTAACCGGTTGACGATCAAGAACAAGTATCCGCTTCCCAGGATCGACGATTTATTTGATCAGCTGAGGGGAGCCTGTGTGTTTTCAAAGATTGATTTACGATCAGGCTACCACCAGCTGAAGATTAAGGAGTTGGATATTGCTAAGACCGCTTTCAGGACTCGTTACGGCCATTACGAGTTCGTTGTCATGCCATTCGGTCTCAGCAATGCGCCAGCAATTTTCATGGACCTCATGAACCGTATCTTCCATCCTTACCTCGATCAGTTTGTTATTGTCTTTATTGACGATATTCTTATTTACTCGAAGAGCCAGAAGGAGCACGAGAAGCATCTGAGGGTAGTTCTCGAAACCCTCGGACGAGAAAAGTTGTTTGCAAAATTCTCCAAATGCGAGTTCTGGCTCCAG